CTCCTCCTCCTCTTCCTCCTCCTCCTCCTCCTCCTCCTCCTTCTTCTTCTTCTTCTTCTTCTCTTTCTTCTTCTGTTTTGGTTTTTTGAGACAGGGTTTCTCTGTGTAGCTTTGCACCTATTCCTGGATCTCGCTCTGTAGCCCAGGCTGGCCTCGAACTCACAGAGATCCGCCTGGCTCTGCCTCCCGAGTGCTGGGATCAAAGGCGTGCGTCACCACCGCCCGCATTTACTTTGCATTCTTGTCTACTTCCTAGGAGCTGGTCCAGTCTTTCAGTTAAGCAGCCCCTTCCCCTGTATTAGTTTGCATCAGTGGCTGTCTATTTTGTATGTATTTGGTCTTCTATTGTCTAAACAATATCTTTAAAAATACTATTACTTCTTTGAGAATTTCAGCCAGTATATTCCAATCATATTCACCCCAACTCCATCCAGGTACACCCCCACCCCCCTGTGCCCTCCCAACTTCCTGTCTCCTTCATTTTACTAGGTTACACATCTACTGTCCACACAGCCTAAGCGTAGGGCCATCCACTGGAGTGTGGGAGACCTACCAGGGACCACACTCCTAAGGTAAACGGACTCTCCGTCCTCCAGAAGCCACCAACTACCCAAAGCTCCTGAGTTAGGGATGGGGCTCCCCAACCCCTTCCCATTCCATGCTCGATCCTGTGCAGGCCGTATGCAGGCAACCGCAGCTGCTGTGAGATCATGAGTGCTGGGGTCCTATAAACAGTGTCCTTTAAAGAAAAAAAAAAGTTTTTAAAGGCAAGCATGGGGGTACACACCTGTAATCTCATACTTGGAAAATGGAGGCAGGGGTTCAAAGCCAGCCTCGGGTGTAGTGACTTGGACACCAGTCTGGGCTACATGAAACTCTGTCTCAAAAAAGATTAAAAAAAAAAAGAAATTAAATTTTGACATCTAGTTTATTATTTTGTGTTTTCATATTTTATGAAAAAAAAAGCACAACACACCAAAATATGGTCCCATGTTTTCATTATTTTTTCAATGTCCTAGCTTATGTATTTCACGTGCATGTCTAGTTCTTTTTGATTTTGGCTCTTATGTATGTTCCCTCCCCCCTCGTTTCACTAAGTATCTCTGCTGTCCCTATTTGACGCTGGGTCTGCCTGCTCTGACTCCTCCTGGAGGTGGCACATGTCGCCCAGTCTGTTGACATTCTCTTCCTCAGATGTCTGGTGACTTTTCGTCCTGTTCAGTTCTTCACCCACGGGTCACCCACTGCTCGGTCCTGGAATGTTCTGGGTCTGGGCCACTTTGGTCTGAGTCATTCTGATACAGTGAGAAAGGAGAGGTACCTTGAAAGCAGAGAGTCCTGGGTACCCCGAAACCTCAGGGAACCCCCTGCCGGCCCTGCTAGCCTGGATTTTGTCAACTTGACGTGAACTAGAGCCAGGTGGGAGGAAGGGACTTAACTGAGGAGTTGCCTCTGTCAGGTGGGCTTGTAGGCGGGTCTGCAGGGCATTGTCTTGATTAAAGATTGACATGTGAGGGCCCCGCCCGTTGTGGGCGGGGCCACCCCGGCTGGTGGTCTTTGGTTATAGAAGACTGAGCAAGCCCAGGGTGTAAGCCAGTACTCCGCATTCTTCTGAGGTCTCTTCGTCACTTCCAGCCTTCCCTCAATGACGCGATGATGGACCCTGTCCTGAAAGTGTAAGCCAGATCAGCCCTGGCCTCCCCAAGTTGCTTTAGGTCATAGTGTTTATCGCAGCAGTACAGAGCCACCTAGGACAAGTCCCCAGGCCCCTTGGGCAAGGTGTGAGGAGTTGGCCTCCAGTGTGCTCAGAATCAGCAGTCCTGGGAGGGCACATCACTGTCCCAGGCTGCCCACCCCCCAGGGCCGGTGAGTGGGTGTCCAGGGCTAGGTAAGCCTTTCTCGGCTCTTTGCCGGACAGAGCCTGGCTCCGCTCTTAACCCACCAACACCTGGGCGGGCCTCGCAGGCTGCAGGCTCTCTCGACAGAGAAGAACACCAACGGTCTCCGTTACTCTTACAGAGTTAATTGGCTGTGGTGGTGAGGGCGGAGCCCAGGGCCCCAGCAGCGTGCTAGACTGTCACTGAGCGTCGTGTACACCCCCCCCACCCCCCACCCCCCACCCCGCCCCGGCCCAGGAGCAAAATTCCAGCTGCTTTCTCTCGCCTGCACTATCTCTACCTGCAGAAAAGACCACTTCCCGGGGCGGGGGGGGGGGACTTTATTTTACACCCTGCCCTTCTAAGCCTTCCTATTAAAATCGTTTTTTCTTGTCTGAACAGAACCATCAAGATGTATGCTATTTTTTGCAAACTTATAAGCAGAGAGAACACTCCGTTTTCCAGGTGCCCCAGCGCTGATGAAACCCTTGACTTTATACTTGACTGTAGAGAGGGATCGTGAACACACTGGGGAGAGCCTGATGTGGCATTAAAGCAGAGGGCCACCAGGAGACAAAAGGATGGTTCCCAGGGAAACCAACAGTTTGTTCGTGTCCCAGGTCACACCTGTCTTCTTGGAGCCACTCTGCTACCCACCACTGTGACACCTGAAATACCCACCACTGTGACACCTAAAATACCCACCACTGTGACACCTGAAATACCCACCACTCACATCATGGCTGCCTAGAGTATTTTGTCTTTAATCTGCTTTGTCTATAAGTTTTTGTTTGTTTGTTTGGTTGGTTTTTCAAGTCAGGTTTCTCTGTGTAGCTTTGGCGCCTGTCCTGGATCTCACTCACTCTGTAGACCAGGCTGGCCTCGAACTCACAGAGATCCACCTACCTCTGCCTCCCGAGTGCTGGGATTAAAGGCGTGCGCCACCACCGCTGCCCGGCCGTCCACAAGTTTTGTGATGGCTTCATGGTTCTGTCCTGGCCATCTCCGACTTCTCACATCCTTGCCCTCTTGTGCCTGGGACCCAGAAGGCAATGGATCCTGAGCCAGATCGGAAATCCACCTTTTCTCTGTAAGACAAATGAAGCGGCAGAGTCTGTCTTGGTTTCTGTGTGCGCTTAATGAGCGCAGGGCGCGTGCTTCAGGGTAAGGCAAGGGTGGCCTGCCCTGGGATGAAAAGCTTGGATCTGAGCTGTGAGACAGTGTCTGGGATTGTGCACAAAAGAGAATTGAATTGTAGATCAGCTGGGAAGCGAGTGAGACGGCCCCAGTGCCCTTGGCCGCCAGGGCTGGAAGCCTGTGGGAGCGCATAGCTGGCATTTTTTTTTAAGCATGAGATTAGGAAGTCTTTTGCTTCCTCTGTGAAGAGGCTTGGATCCAATGGGCTTGAGGTAGGATGGGAGGTTTTTGTTTGGCTTTGTTTTGGTAGAAAATAAACCAGATTTGGCTTGGGTGTTAGGAGACCCAGGGCAGACGAGCCCTCTGCCTAGTGCTTGGTAAGAGGCAGGTTTGAAAGCGTGTGGTCACATTTTGGCAACAGCGAGTATGTGGAGAAGCTGTGACTGCAGTTTCAGAAGAGGGGGTTCCTACTGGACTCTCCAGATGACTGTCTGTATTTGAGACGCCTCAAAGCACCGTTTCACAGTAAGTTCTGAGGTTTGCTCCTGGCTGGTGCCGTATAGGAAATCACTTAGGGCAGTGGTTCTCAACCTGTGGGTCACAACCCCCCCTGGCGTTGCATATCAGCTATTTATTTACATCGTGATTCCTGACAGTAGCAAAATTACATTTATGAAGTAGCAATGAAAATAATTTCATGGTGGGGGTCACCACAGCATGAGGAACTGTATGAAAGGGTCGCAGCGTTAGGAAGGTTGAGAACCACTGGCTTAGAGGCTCGCTCGAATCACCTCCAGATGGCAGCACCCCGAAAAGCCTTCACTGGGGCACTGGCTGGTGCTGAGAGGAAGGCCTGCCCTGGGCATCTCGTGGAGCTTCAGGCAGGCTCTCTCTGACATGGAATACTCATCTCTCATCCTCTGGCTCATGTCCCATAGAATGTCCAGACAGGGCCAGCGAGATGGCTATGTGGGTTAGGAGTGCTTGCAGCCAGGCCTGACGACCTGAGTTCGATCCCTGGAACCCACATGGTGGAAGGAGAGAACCCACTCCCACAGGTTGTCTTTTGACTTCCACATGTACACCATGTGCTCATAGGTGCATGCATGTGTGCGCACATACACACGCACAAATAAATGCTAAAAAAAATTTAAATTTAAAAATTCTCCTTTGACTTACACTTGCATGCTGTGCTCTTTTATTATTATACTCTGTTGTTTACTGTGTGTGTGTGTGTGTGTGTGTGCGCGTGCGCGCAATTGTGCATACACACACGCATGCTGTGAGGCAGACGGGGGGGTGGGGTGGGGTGGGGGTGGGGTGGGGTGGTGGTGGTGGTGAGAAGACAGTCTAAACATATCCTTTCCTTCCATCATGTGGATTTGGGGGATTATCAGATCCTTATCTGCTGAGCCATTTTGCCAGCCCTAGAGAGAAATGTTTTGTAGATTTCTATTTTTATTCTATGTGTTTGGGCGTTTTGCCTTCATAAGTGTCTATGTATCATGATCGTGTGTCTGCAGTGCCCATGGAGGTCAAAACAGAGTGTGGAGGCCTTCGCAAGAGCAGCAACCACTGAGCCATCATCTCTCCAGCGCCCCCTAGGGAGACTTTCTGAAAACATTTCTTTTTCTTTTCTTCTTCTTCTTTTTTTTTTTTTTTTTTTTTTTTTTGGTTTTTTGAGACAGGGTTTCTCTGTGTAGCTTTGCGCCTTTCCTGGAACTCACTTAGGAGCCCAGGCTGGCCTCGAACTCACAAAGATCCTCCTGGCTCTGCCTCCCGAGTGCTGCGATTAAAGGCGTGCGCCACCACTGCTTGGCCCAAACCACATTCTATCAATAGTTTGGTTTTTCCTTTTCTTTTCCTTTTTTTTTTTTTTTTTCATGAAACTCAAGCAAGCCATTCAAAAAGCAATTTTTAAAATCAAATATTCCAAACAATCCAGAAATATACTGCTGGTGTTTCTGTCTTGACGTCTTTGCTTTCTATAGTTAAACTCTTGTGTGAGAGCAGACAGCCACACACGTACAGTGAAAATACTGTTCTTCCTAACACGGCAGTCTCGGGTCTACGCCGAGGGGCTTCAGGCCGCACAGGCTGATGGCTTTTGAGACAGGGCTCCTGGGGCCATGCCTGGGCTGTGTGTTCAGAGCCAAGGCTGCAGTGATGTCCCAAAAGGGACCCTTTTCACAGGGGGACAAGTGGCCCAACCCGTTCCAGGCTTTTGGTAAGTCTTCTGTCTCTCTGTTCTCAGCACTCCAGCTAACCCGCCCAAGACTGTCCTCAGAGGCCTGGGAAGAGAGCACGCGCCCAGCCCCACCTGCTTCCCATCAACCGTTCCGTCATCCTGCAAGGACAGCAAATGCTGCCCCCTTGGGAAAAATGAGAGTGAACACCAGTGAAGAGCTGGCAGACGTGACTCAAATTCTCCCAAGGCAAGTGGACAGGGATGTGGCCTTGGGCTGCAGTCCATGGTGGGTTTTACAGAGCTCCTGTGACCCACCTCAGGCAGCTGCCTGGGGATCTGTAGGATGCCTTAAAGAGACCCAGTGTGGGGATCTGAAGATAGTCTTAAACATTTACATATATTTCACTGGCTAGGCTTGGAGAGGGACACTCTCCCAGGGCTACACAGTAATTTGAAAGGCACCTAAACTCACTGCAGTTAAGTGTCCAAAGTGATGAGGCTAATGTCATTTTGTTTTTCTTTTGGTTTTTTTGAGACAGGGTTTCTCTGTAACTCTGGCTGTCCTGGAACTTACTTTGTAGACCAGGCTCGCCTCCAACTCAGAGACCCACCTGCCTCTGGCATTAAAGATGTGCACCACCACTGCCTGCCTATTAACACTTTTTATATGATCACAACTGGCCAAGACGGAACCCCCCCATACCCATTTTATCTTCTCAATTTTTGTGTGTGTGCATGCATGTGGTGTGTGTGTGTGTTTGTGTGTGTGTGTGTGTGTGTGTGTGTGTGTGTGTGTGTGTGTGTGTGTGTGTGCGCGCCTAAAGACAAACTCAAGTGTTATTTCTCAGGAACCATTCTTCACCTGTGCTTTTAGACAGTCACTCTTTGGAATCTGGAGTCACCAATTAGGCTAAGCTGGCTGACCAGCTAACCCCATGGATCGGCCTGTTTCGGCCTCCCCAGTGCTGGCGTTACAGGTGTGTGCCACCATGCCTGGCTATTTTCCCATAACTTCTGGGGAATCAAACTGACGTCATCTGTTTGCGAGCTAAGCGCTTTACCATCTCCCTAGCTGCCCTTCTGGCTGTCTTCAGGATAGGCTTTCACTATGTAGCCTAGACTGGATTCAAACCCACCATCCTCCTGCCTTAGCTTCCCAAATGCTGGGATTGCTGGTGTGCACCACCCACCAGGCCTGGCTGTCCTTCCTCATCAGCTCGGTGTCTTGGTTCCTTCTCCTGTTGCTGTGATAGAATACACTGACCAAGACAACTTCAAAAGCAAAGAGTTGATTGTGGCTCAAAGTGCAGGAAACTGTCCGTCACGGTGGAGGCCGGAGGGCGTCACAGCAGCAGGAGCTTGAAGCAGCTGGTCACATCCCATCTACGATCAGGAAGCAGAACGCAATAAATGCATGCTGCCACCCACTTGCTCTCTCCAGTTTATACAGGGCAGAATCCACACCAGGTCAGATGAATCCTCCCCCATCAATCAACCTATGATGACTGTCCCCCACACGCATGCCCAGAAGCCTATCTCTTAAGTGCTTCTGGATCCTCCCAAGTTGACAACATTCGCTGTCTGAATTGACGCAGTGCTGTTGAGGGACAGAGTGACTAAGAATGTGGCAGTGTGGGTGCCCAAGTTAGGTTGGCACAGACCTATAATCCCAGATGCTCACAAAGCTGAGGCAGGAGGATTAAGGAGTTTCAAGGGCTATGTTGGGATACAGAACAAGTTCAAGGCCAATTTAGGGAGACCCTGTCTCAAAAATTTACAAGGAAGGTAAAATCAGCTTGGAGACTGTGGTAGTTTGAACGTAATTGGTCCCTGTAATCTCACAGGGAGTGGCACTATTGTGAGGTGTGGCTGTGTTGGAGTGGGCGTGGCCTTGTTGGAGGAAGTGTGTCACTGTGGAGGCGGGCTCTGAGGTTTCCCATACTCCGATACCGTCCAGTATCACAGTCGACTTCCTGTTGTCTGCAAGATGTCAGACTCTCAGCTACTTCTCCAGCACCGTTTCAGTCCGCACGTCATGATGATAACGGACTGAACCTCTGAAACTGTAAAGGGGCCACCCCAATGAAATGTTTTCTTTCATAAGAGTTGCTGTGGTCATGCTGTCTCTTCACGGTAATGAAAACCCTAGCTAAGACAGGGATATAACTCAGTCGTGGGTAACTTTTCTAGCTGGGGTTGGGGTGAGGTAGGGGGATTAGAAGGTCAGCGAGCACCGTGGAGCGTGGGAAGCCGAAGCCAGGTCGCCAGCCCAGTGTCAAACCTCAGCTTTGCTACATGACATCTGTCTGAGCTCAGGAAGGTCGCCAACCTTCCGAGGCTCAGGGTCTTTGTAAAAGGGGGAGACAGCACAAGGATTGTTGGGAACGAGCGCGTCCGCTCTCTCTACCTGATACAGAACTGTCATCTGCTGTTTGTAAGGACTCCACTGAATGATTTGGTAAGAGCAGGCTGAACCAACACAGAGCCAGAGCTGGTAAGGAACGAGGAGCCCAGTTACCAGCAAACCATGAATGAACTGTGGGTTTCAGTGTTACTGGCACGCTGAGAAACGAGGAGCCGCAAATTCAGGCAAATGGCCCAAGAAATGAAGCCTCTCATCTGACACTCACAATGGTGCCTGGGCCAGAATTTTGGGGAAGACAAATGCTTGACTTACACGGATGTTTTGGGTTCTGTCGGAGGAAAGGAAGGAGGCGGAGAAGACAGTTCTAGACACCCTCGCCGTCCCAGAGAGTCGGACCCTGGGCTCGCAGGGCATTTGGAGTGATGGAGAATGTCCACTCTCAGCAGGAAGTGCCCGCACAGAAGGAACTGCACACAGCCCATGCTGCCAGTGAGGTGGGCCACAGATAACACTCCTCAGTTCTGCCTGACCTCTGGACCAAGCAATGTCCTGACAGAGACCTGCCATAACCAAGCCTCCAACAGATGCCCAGAGCTCCCTCCCCCTCCCCCGCTCATCTCCTGGGCAACAGTTGGTGGTTAGCAGAGGAAGAAAGAGGACCATAATGTAATCATCTAGATTCTCCATCATCTGCACTAATGGGATGGGGAGCACTCCTTCTCTGTAAGATGTTTCGAGATCCAGGACAGGCTGAGGAAGCTGCCCCTCTGTCAGAAAGGCAGGCAGGTGTGTGTGTGTGTGTGTGTGTGTGTGTGTGTGTGTGTGTGTGTTGGTGGGGGGCGGGTATCTGTGGACTTTGTAAGCCTGTCTGGTAGAGCTAGCAGGACATTTTCTCATAATGACAAAGCTAAATCATACACGATCCCAGATGCGGTGGCTCATTGCCTGTAATGCCCGCCCTTTGGAGGCTGAGGCAGGAGGATGGTCGTGAGTTTGACACTATTATGGTTTACATAGTCAGTTCCAGGCCAGTCTGGACTACAGAGTGAAATCCTCAAAAGTAAAATCAAATCAATAAACAACAAAAACTCATAAATTATGCCCAATGTGGTGGTGCCATAAGCTCAGCCCCAGGGAGTCTAAGGTGCAGGAGTTGCCATGAGATCCAGCATGGGCTGTTGCATTATGTCTTGGGCTCAGGCTCTGCTCTAGGCTGACTCAGCTACTGGGTCTTTTGCTTGTGGAGCCACAGCAGTGCCTTTATGCAGGAAATGAAGTGAAAACAAGACAAAAGCCTTCACTGAGTGCCCGTCTATAAAATACGCTCGTACTCTTGGCCCTTAGCCCATGCATTATAATTATCTTCATGTTATATGCAGTGAAGTGCACAGGAGGCAAGATTAGTGTTGTCAGGGGCTGGGAATATACTGCCGATGGCTGTGAGTTTCTTCAGGGGTAATGGGTGTTTCCTTTTGTGTGTCTATGTGTGCAAGTGCGGTGTGTGTGTAGTGTATATACATGTTGGGTGTGGGGTACAGGTACATGTGAGCAAGCAATGGCTAGAAGAGGAGGCTCTCTCACTCTTTTGAGATGGCATCTCTCACTGAGCCTGGAGCAAGGCTGGGCCAACAAATGCCCGCCATCTGCCTGATCTCTTACAGAGTGGGGGCTTCGGGTGCATGGCCACATCTGGCCTTTTTATGTGGATGCCGAGACCTTATCGTGTGTCCTTCTGCTTACAGTCAATTGTTCTTATGCACTGAGCCATCTCCCCAACTCCATAACGGGCATTTTCTAGAATCAGAGAGTGGCGACACCTCTACCCTGTAAACACGCTGAAACTAACCAAAAATCTTTAAATCTCCAAGAGATGAGCTGTTGGTTTAGGAGCTACATTTCAAGTTTTAAAATGTGTATACATTTAACATTGATAATTAAATAAATTAGTATTATATGGAGCAGCCCCCAAAAGTTACACAGTGAGATTTATCTATTCATTCGGCAGTGTTGGGGGTCAAACCTAGAGCCTTTGGTGCCCGTTAAGGCAAGTTCTGCCATGGAGCTACCCTCTGAGCCTTGTAGGGTAAAATGTAAAAACTCGTAATGTAACGTAGGCTGGAGAGATGGGTCAGCAGTAAAAAGCTGCTCTTTCAGAGGACCCAGGATCGATCCTCAGCACCCACATGGTGGCTCACAACTGTCTGAACTCCAGTTCCAGGGAACCCAACATCCTTTTCCAGCCTCCTTTGGCACATCTTACATGTGGTATGCAGATATACATGCAGCCAAAAACATCCATACAGATCAAAACAGAACACAAAGGAGCAGTGTGGAAGTGAAGACAGAGCCAGCCAGGACAGACGGACACGGTGGGTGCTGTGTCTCATATCCAGTCTTTGTTTCCACCACACCTGAAAGACAGACGGCAGATGCCCAGGGGGTAGGTCAATAATTGCTACCGAAATACTGCATGGTTGTCTGCTGAGCCAGCTCCCCCAAAGCCAGAACCAAGCCTGAAACACCCCTGCAAAGAAAGGAGAAGGTACCCAGAGGGAAAAGGGGGTACAGGCAAGACAGGATAGCCTTACAGACAGAGAAGATGCCAAAGCAGGCCAGGCACAGAAAGATGAAGGTGCCAGAAAACCGTGTGGTGTGTGTGTGTGTGTGTCTGTCTGTCTGTCTGTCTGTCTGTCTCTGTGTTAACATGCATATTTGTGACTATACATCTTGAAATACTATCTTATCAAGTTTTACAAAAATGTAGAATTATAGAGGGATTTTTCTTCAGGCCGCCTGTTCACAAAAAACAAAAAACAAACAAACAAAAAAAACAACAACTACGCAGAGACATAATTATTAATTAAGCTTGGCCTATAGCGTAGGCTTGTCCCAGTAGCTCTTATAACTTAAATTAACCCATTTCTTTTCTTTTCTTTTTTTTTTTTTTTTTTGTGACAGGGTTTCTCTGTGTAGTTTTGGTGCCTGTCATGATCTTGCTCTGTAGTCCAGGCTGGCCTCGAACTCACAGAGATTCACCTAGCTCTGTTTCCTGAGTGCTGGGATTAAAGGCGTGCACCACCGCCACCCGGCAAATTAACCCATTTCTATTCGTGCACGTGACTCGTGGCTTTTACCTCTCCTCCTGCATGTCTTGCTCCCTCCGCTTATGACTGGTGACTCTGCCTTTCTTCTTCCCAGAGATCTCTCTGTCTGGAAGTCCCACCTGTAGTCAGAAGTCTTCCTGTATCCCACCTGGTCCTGCAGCCGCTCGGACCCACACACAAAGGCTTATATTATTTACAAAATGTATGGCCTGATGGCTCAGGCCTCTTGCTAGCTAGCTCTTACAACTTAACTCAGCCCATTTCTACTCATCTACACATTGCCACGTGGCTTCGTGGCTTACCGGTACTTTCACATCTTACTTCCCCTGGTGGCCGCTCTCAGTGTCTGTCCCACTCTCCTTTCCTCTTCTCTCTCCGAAGCTTGAAGGTACCTCCTCACCTTATTCTGCCTCACCATTGGCCAAACAGCTTTATTTATCAACCAATCAGGGCAATACCTATTCACAGCTTACAGAAAGACATCCCACAGCACCCACCTAGTTATTGGCCATTTAGCTTTTTACTAAACCAATCACAGTGACACATCTTCACACAGTGCAAAAGAATATTCCACAACACAGAATTTTATTTAAATAAAAAAAAAAAACAAGTAAAAGCTCATCTATAAGAGTTCCTGCTGGGTGGTGGTGGCGCACATCTTTAATCCCAGCACTCGGGAGGCAGAGCCAGGAGGATCTCTGTGAGTTCGAGGCCAGCCTAGACTACCAAGTGAGTTCCAGAAAAGGCACAAAGCTACACAGAGAAACCCTGTCTTGAAAAACCAAAAAAATGCTGGGCGGTGGTGGTGCATGCCTTTAATCCCATCACTCTGGAGGCAGAGCCAGGAGGATCTCTGTGAGTTCGAGGCCAGCCTGGTCTACAGAGTGAGTTCCAAGAAAGGCACAAAGCTACACAGAGAAACCCTGTCTTGAAAAA